ACTAATAGTTCGTCTCAGGATAATGAGGGGTTGCAAATTGGAAGATTCGTACTCCCTATGTAGAAGCAATTTTCGGTGCAGGAAGAGAATGTTTATCTCGACAGTCTGCAAAAGAGTAAAGTGGTGAACCTAAGGACTTTCTTCTTCTTATAGTTTCACATAGGTACATGTTTTTATTTCGAGAGTTTAAAAGCACGTGCATTGATAGTATACCTCAGCTCTGGTTGGAACTTTAACAGCTTGATTTAGTGATTAAAATATACACGCAGTGGCAACTCAAGCACTTCACTGGGCATTCCTTTAAGGGTTTTTCTAATTCACATTCATTGTAAGTCGTTAAAAGGATAGGCTTTTTCATCTCATCCCGTCCGAATTAACACCGAAGATTTTGCAATTCAGATCATTACGATTTGTGCTCAGTATGCACGCGGCGTTCCTCCAAGGCCACAACGCCGCAGCTCCTAACACCCTGTTAATCGATGGCCGGCCCTTGAGACCAAGGTGTCATCGCAGATAGACCCGAGAAATCTCCGAGGGCCCGCTGGATCGATCGGGCACACGTTACCGCTGCAAATGCCGTATGTTTGTCTCGCCTGCTCATGTATACTGAGGGCTGCTGCGAACTTCGTCCCTACGGGAGGGCAGCTGCAGAGCAAGCGATTGGCGCCCTTGTGTGTGTGTGTGTGGGGGGGGTCGATGGAGAATGAATGTCCCAGCATTGATTGAGGCGTTAATCGGTAATCGTACCTTGATGAACATCCATCACCGTGGATAATGTGACGATTTACATTGGAATGATGCCAGGCTCGACGTAACCAAGTATAGCCGTGCGGCTGGGATGTAACAGGTGGGTTTGACATTATTTCGCACGATAACAGTACATACATTGGCCTTACACCCACATTTTTCCTTGTTCATATTCAGAAGTTATTCGAATGGGTTTTCACTTTGTGAGCACTCTTTCACCTACTACTACCCCAGTTTGGTGACTATTTTCAAATCCCAATTTAATCAAGAAATGCATCCACCCTGAATGCACCCACCGTCATTTAAACAGATGCAAACCGAATTTGATTCAGAAAATATTGCAACCGCCCACATGAGATAGCAAACACAGAAAATATCAATTTGTGGCAAGACGAGGGTTGCCTAGACGCCAGACTTACCAGTTGAGAATAAAAATATGCTGAGGCAGTAGAGTGAGAAATAAAATGTAAATCAAGCGTGGATACTTACGGTGGACGCACGCATAATGTTATAGATTATGATATGATAATTTGATATTGGAAAAATATAAGAGGACCAAAGCGAGTACGTTAAAGAAGGTTGGGAGAGAAGGATGCCGGACACACAAAGGCCAAAAGATTTGCGTAAGGATGGAGAGAAGGATGCCGTACACACAAAGGCCAAAAGATTTGCGTAAGGATCCTCATACGATACAGGTTCAAACCTGACTTTGGTGTACGACAAAAGGGAAATTAATCTTTAAACAGGCCGAATCACTAATTCCATGAACATTTGACCCACCAGTAATCAGTCTCTCTTGCGCCTGGACCTAATCACGCGGCGTCTGCGCGTTTTCGAGAGGCAAAAAATCGTATCATCCGAACCGACTACCCAGTGCTGATAATAAACCAGGCTTTTAAAAGTATACTGCTGCTTTTGAAGAGTGCCGGTAAAAGTAGGCTTTGTGAAACATGTAACAGCTGCCGCATGTTCTTTGGGGCCCTGGGCACAGAAGGGAAGAAAAGGAGTTTGGTCGAGCTGGCTTGCGACATGCAGTGGATAAGGGAAAGGATAAGCATTGAGGAGGTATGTGGTTCGAATCCTTGATGGTACTTCCAGTCAGTTTCCTGTTTGAGAAGAGCAATTTTGAAAGGTTCTTTAATTTACTACCATAATTTGTACCTTAAATTATTAATTTTTCATTAAAGGCCAAAAAGCCAACTTCAATGTGTTATCGACTCAGGCTTCACTTATTAGCGTAACACCAGTGTCACAATATGCGATAATATATTACCAGCATGCTTCAAAGATGGATTTTTTTAAAATCAGGCGGTACGTCGTAAAGGAGGGTAGGGCAAGTGGGTCATCAGGGCAACTGGCCCACTCTTAGACCAAATTAAACTAAAAGGTTAGGAAATTGACCACTTGCGTTTAAACTTTTTATTTTTTCAGAGATTAACCTGAACATAAATTGAGGCCCAAGTGAAAAAATATAAATAAACTTAAAAAATAAACTTCAAATCATGATTTAGGATAATAAAAATGTTCAAACCAACTAACTCCATATTTAGCTTAACATCCCCCAAACCAGAAATTACCTGACTGGAGGAAAGGTAAAGGAATTTTCTAATTAATTTTTTTAAATTGAACTCTGGTGCTTCTGAGATAATTCCGATTGCCAATTTCAGTGTTTTATTATCAATGTAGGCCTACTGATTCCAACATTCATTTCGTACTCTTTTGGTGGCAAGTTTTAAGGTTTTTTGATGTGGTTCATTTGCCCCAGGTAAAAAAATTTAATGAGTTAATATTCATACGTTTTATTAATGTAATTCATTTCAGCTGTAATAAATAAACAAGTGTTTTGGTCATGTTTTAAGAGTAGTTTTATCCTTTTCCAGGATTATTGAATATGGTTAGAATCAATGTGCTCAAGTGGTCCAGTAGCCCCACCTTCCCGTACACATGTATTATAGGAGTATATCCGATAAGGTGCAGTAGTCCACAACCCGCAGACAATGACCCCCCATGTCGTCCAATAATGAGAATGCCAAAGAGTCATATATTTTCAATTTCCGATTCAACTCATCGAGCAAAATAGCACCTATTGTGGCTGACAAACATTAAGGGACTATGGTGTGTTCCTGGGACAAATAATCAGCCCTTTTCAGCTTTACTGCTGTAAGTTATGGCTTCACAACGTTTTCAGTGCATCACCATAAAAAGTAAAACGGCTTATATGACTCACGATAATATTTCTGCCTTTATCCTGAGGCCATTAAGAGGCGCTCTGATCGTCCCTCTTTGTGGTAAAAGGGGTGGACTTGTAACGGTTAACAAGAATAATATGCTACCTTTTTGTTATCTTTCAAGATGACTGCTCTTTAACTGATTGGTTCGTGAGGTATTTGGATCTAGACAATTCATCATTGTATCAAGTCCAACACAGTTCAACATACTTCCCCGCCTGTATACTCTCCTCAAAATCGATCGTGCAAAATTGTTATTTAAACACATCGATGCGCGCACACGCAAACCTTCTTCCCACAGTCTCTTCCAACGCCGGTTGACAAACGAGAAATCTTCATTTGGGGAGGATTCTGGCGCCAGATTTGCGGTGGGAAATGAACAAGTGTCTACTCTCCAGTTCCTAAACAAATTTCAAGAAGGTGGCCAAGCCATCCGCGTGCGCAACACCGCGGTAGGCTTGCTGCCTCCAACGAACACAGAGGCGTCTACTTTTACACTATTTGTAATTCTGACGTGGCCAGTGCACGCCTTACGTTACATGTCCTCGAGGGTTTGAGTTTCCCGCGTCTCGCGGTGTTTGCAACGTGGCCCGACATAGGCCTGTGATAAAAGAGTTGAGAACTTTAGGCTCAAGTGTTCGTAAGTCGGAGATGGCCTGACCTTTGCATTTTTCATGCAGACAAAGCGGAAGAGAATCGAAACACCTTTAGACTCATGATCAACTTACTAATGTAGACACATTTGACGCCACTAACGCCTTTTTTACGGAAATGAACCAGTGTTCTAAGCGTTCAGGCCAGTAAACCCGGTGGTTACCTTCTACAATAACGGCCTGTTACAAGCGATAACTGTTCAGGAATTGATTACACCTGTACTTCCAGAGGCAAAGTTCAGTTGGAATCTGAAGTGCTCAATGAAACTGGCGTCAAGTCCCAGGTGATTTGTTAACCAATGGGACATTACAGGTCCCTGACTAAAACATCCAAATAGCAGGGCATGCAATAATCTTCCTTCGTCAGTTTACTGTTAGTGAATGGCATGAAAGAATACAAGGGATCCATGAGGACTGTGCTGAATATTCGTATGTTCGAAATTTTTTTCAATTTCGATTGACTGCATTCTTAAGCCTGCTTTCCATATTGACTCAATAAACGCAGAAAGTAATTCAATCAAGACTCAAACTGCAACGCGGACATTTGGAGACATGTCAAACGGAGGTGTCGCCGACGACACCTAGCCAAACGCAAACCAGCCCGCGAATAATCGTCAGGTTCAACTTCACCGATTGTCTGCGTCGAGTATCCGTGGTATCCGCATACAAACACGCAAGCTGGCACGGAAGGCGTGCAACGATGCCCCTCTCGATTCGTTCCAAGAATTTTGCTCATTTTCTTCTCAATGCTTAAATATTACACCCTTATGATCAAGTAAATTGCTGGCCATCAATGAAATGCATGAAACTAGAGTACAAGTTTGGCATTGTGGGGCGTTACAGTCAATCTAAAATGGTATTTCCTGCAAAATATCACGGAGTTTCGGGTGCCATTTTTTTCAACTGATGTTATGCACTGTCTCTTCCGTTCGGGTCTGCGTCTTCACGTCTTGCAGACGTCTGCGTTACAAACGACGACTTGGAAACCAGGCTTTACTTGACTAACTCCTTTCCAGTCATGATCCTGTTGTTGCTTCTCTCGCAGATCGTTTCTCACAAGTAAGCATAGATTTCTAACATCCTCAGTTGATATAAGGAAGCTTGGTCTTGTTACAAACTATTCTAATGTATTCCAGTAAACAATCATGGCCTTTCAAATGCTGGTTCAAGATTCCCGGCGAACCATGATAAGTATCTACTACGAGCAAAGCATATTGGTTTGATCGCGTCTCCTACGCTGTACCGTTGCCCACGGCTTAATGAGTCGAAACAAGTTTTTATTTATGCCATTGAAATTTACGTAGGAAATTCACACGTAAAGTCATGTCAAATAAGTTCACTTGATAGGAACTATGAGGATTTGGTGACTTACCTTTTGCAAATCATCCAAAAACGTATGGATTGCCTTGACCATGACGTTGGCTTGTTCATCCAGCTGTCCAAAGTAGGCAGCTGAGACCAAGTCCTCTTCCACCGTGCTGCGACGTCGTCTTTTCCTCCAGCCCGGCATTTGGAACCCTACTTTTTCCTTTTTAGACCGGGCTGGGATTCCGTAGCGTATCATCTCCTTCTCCCGCGCCCCCTCGCCGGCCTTCACCTCCTCGAACTCGCTCAGGGTGCTGAGGAACTCGTGCATGCTGTCCACAACCTCCACGGCGTCCCGGTACAGGAGCTTGGAGCCCGAGCCTCGCGCGGGGGCAGCGTTTGTGTTCGTGGTCGCCGACCTAGGATCGACTGCCGGCGCCGCCAGCGCTACAGAACACGCTAGGGCCAGTGGGAATAACAGGCACAACAGTCTCCTGGGTGTGGCCATCTTTAGGGATAAGGACAAACGAAAGAAACAAACCAACGCACGGGGGAGGGATATACTGTAGGGTCAAAGTGGTCTTGGTGTTTAGCTGATCAACAGTTATTGTTTCGTTGGGGTTCACAATTAATGAAGAAACTGGGGCAAGTGCTCGGTGGAGTCACCGACAAACACTCTTCTGGTTGGAGCCTTCGTCTCTCCTCAGCTTAATCTGTCTGGCCGTATATGTAGCAGGGGTGACACTGATGTTATCTAGCCAGGGGAAAGGACAAGAAAGGAGGGAAACCATCAGTTTGTTACATTTGATAGGAACGGTATAATCTGTGACAAATTCCTTCACATTCCTTGTTTGCCGTCAAGTAGTTTTTTCACCCGTTTTTTTCGTGGGCTGGCTCCGGAATACAATCTCAGCAAACAAGGCCACGTCTGGTTTACGTGAACACAAATCTTCGCTGAGAATTGCTGACAGTGTGGCAGAACCCCAAACAGTTCGAATTTACCCAAGTTGAATAGTTAACGTATCGGTATAAAAGCACACCTATTTTCCGCAATACTGATTCTGGAAACAATTTTGGCACTTCTGCTACCAATATTTTAACAGTAGAAGTGTTAGAATTGTATGCTTTAAAATCAGAATTATTCATTTTTTCTCGCCTTTTCTGTTTTCCCCTTTTGCGCTTGTCTGTCTGGGAACACCGCGTAAACCTCCAAATTGTACTTTGTAACCTAATTAATCTAACAGCATAAACGCGAAAGCCGTGTCAACATATTCTAATGGCAGAATCCTGCCTGTCGGTGGGGCACCTGCTGCCACATTCATTTCCATGTCATTGTTGACAAGATAATGTAAGCACATTTTTATCGTGGAAACGTTTAGAGGTCGACGGTCCAGGAACTTAAGCCTGTTATTTCGGGGTCGCAGAATAACAAGAAAACAGGTTTGCTGTGATATCATTTTAAAAATAGTGAACGTGTCCAGTCGCTTGTGACAGAATTATGGTATGGTTTAAAAGTGTAAAAACGAATAAAAAATATGATCCTTAAAGATGGCAAATGATCGCCTGTGTGAAAGTAACTAGTTACTGGGGATAAATAGACCCGTTTTCCTTTATTTCATTGTTTGTAAGTGATTTGACATTAAATGGTCTCTTTCAGAATTGTTTGAGGGAATTATCATTCCAAGTCAAATAAAGTTTAAAAATAAAACTTTCTGGTAACATAAATTAAAGAAAACATTGAGGCGACAAAACTTTTTAGTTTGATGGAAAATTGATGATGGAATATTGTAAATATATCAAACACTGCGTCTAAAACTTGAATATGATGGACAAATTCCGAAAAATTCCCAAATAATGAAACGACTAAAATGAAAATCAATAATCGATGAGAGTTATAGTGGCCTTTAAAGGAAAAATTATCAATTTTTAACACTTCTTCAGTTTTTCATTGGAAATGTTCTTGAGTCAAACAATGTAACTTTAAATCTCCTAGTCCGTGAATCTCAATTCATCTCTCGTGAAAGCTAAATCTTTACGGCAGTGTATGTTGTCAAATGTGCACATTTCCACACTGCAAATTGTTCTGTTAGTGTTACACTATCAATATCCATGGCCGATATTGAACATTAGAATTGGGGTTTGTAATTAGTATTTAAAAACCAAGCCCTAGCGTAAAACAAAATGACAATAACTCATGCGTCCCCGTCAATTTGTTAAGAAACACCGCGTTTCACAAAAAAAGTCGCAAAAGCAGTCCATAAATCGATATATATCACGCGTAGTAGCGACACACGTTCATCTAACGTTATTACCCTCAAAATACGCCGGCGAGTTTCGGAACGGTAAAGGTGTTCAAGTCTAGGCTCATGCAACGCTCCGAGCGAAAAGCCCTTGAATATTTTTCTACCAAAAAGAGGCAGCATAAGATAATTCTAAGAAGCATAAATAATTGATTTAAGGATCAGAACTTGTCCAACACTATGTAAAAAAATCAGGTATTTTGACTGCTATAACAATGTGCTTCAAACTGCGAAAACTATATTTCTGTCGCTCCAAATGTTCAGAATATTTTACGATGAGGTTTTGCATACAGCTATTTGTTTTACGTCTTTACTTTTCACTGACTGCGGTCTTATTTTGAAAAGAGAAAAACAGAGTGGAACAATCATTACCGTAACGGAATATGACCAAGCCCCAATGGAAACGTCTTCACTATTCACAGTTTCATTCAGAGGAGAGTGACTTGCGCTTGTATTTTAGCAGACACAGAAACAGAACTAGAAGATGTGCAAAAGAAGCATACACATCGCCAAGAAATAGAATGAAAAGATAAAAAAGAGACGATTGATTAATGAATAAATCAGGTTAGAATAAGTCTCTTTACAATTACGATTTAAGTTGGCAGGTGCACTGTGATGTTTGTTGCAAAAATAGTGCGTGGGAGATCCCATGAGACCGTTAAGTTTTCAGGACAAGTGCCTTTGTAGCAGACGGGGCACCTGAGTCAACTGGATTCAATCGAACTCACGATGCACTACACTGCTTGGATCAATGTCGACATTACGCCGTCATGATTGGCCTCTACGCTTTACAAGACTTGTCGCACTCTACAGTTCTGCGCAAAGTGTTCATTTGTATTGAACTCTTATTCATATTTAACTCTTGTTTCGTTAGGCCAATTTTTAAAGCCCTGAACACCAGTATTAACAACGCTAGAGGGCGTGTTTCCCTAATGTGCAATGTAAGGATGGTTGTTATACATTTATGTTGTAGCCTAAGCACACTTCAGTGGTTGAAATTAACAGTTTTCTTCATTTCTTGTTCAATTTTGTTGCCTCCCTAAAATATTTTCACCATTTTGGGCACTTTTAATTTGGAAATTTTCCTATTATCCTATTCATCGTTTTTATGTGCCATTTTTTATATTATTATTTTGTTAAACACGAAACCACAATGAAGTTTATGCTTATTATTCACGGGGTTCTTTTCGTTAGTTTGAGATTAGTTTGAGTTATTGCTGCAGGATACGTTGCTGTAAAACAGGAAATAACGTGTCGTGTCTGAAAATCTGCTGAAATCGTCACTTGGCCAAAGTCATCATTCAGCATAGCTCCTAATTCCACTGAGAATTTTCATCGTGCATATTATTTGCACCGATTGATTTTTCTTTTTCAGTTAGTAACAGATATACAATCTACCCTATCTACGACGTCTGCACATTGCTCCTACAAAGGGGCAAGTTTTTCGTTTTAAATATAATGCGAGAAAACAAGACTTCTGGTATTTTATTTTTCTGTCTTTCCAAAGCGTATAAAAAGCCCTATATTTTAGCCTCTTTCTCTGAGAGATCACAGAAAGAAATGCCATGCATTGTATCTAGACCCCGGAGAAACTTTTCCCGGCCCCCCAAAAAAGAAAGTTATGGATCTACACTTGCGTCTTTACCATGTTAAAAATCTTACCGAAAATTTAACGTCCAACAACGTAAGACTTACCCCAGTCTAAGATCAAGATGTGAAATTTAGTATCAGCGAGCGTGACTGGCTACCCCGAGATGGGACAGCCAACTGCGATACCCCAGGGTAGGGCTTGGTGTGTCGTGTCCCGGCGTTTTAAGCCATCGCAACACCGAGAGGCAAATGACTACAAGTTCTACCCGCAGGGGATCGGCCATCTAGTGGCAGGGGGTTTGGATGTAACCCACAACATAAGCTAGGACGGTAAAGGGGACAAATGCATACGACCAATAACGCCATTCAAATAGACTAAGGTTATTTCTAGATGGTAAATATCCTCGGGTTCTGCCTCATCTTTTATGTTGTTCTTTGCGATGCGAAAACGATGTTTGACATTTTTCGATGCATTACCGCAAGCAGGGAAATCCGCACTTTGTCCATCTTCACATCTTCAAGGTTGTCAAATTTGAAAAGGGCAATTATTGAAGGCAATTTGTGTGAAAATTTAAGCACTTGCACACTACGACAGACTGACTCTTTTCTTTTTCCAACAGAAGACGTAAGGCGTCCAATGGAATCCTAATATTTCTGTGAAAAATATGTGTACATTTTGAGGTTGAATCCTTCTCTGCTTACCTGTTATGATAAAAGATGGAAATACCTACGAGAGGGAATAATACAGAAAAGGACAGATGGAAATTTTGAAATCACCTTGTCAAGTAGGGATGATCGATCTTTCATTTACTAATTTAAGTCACACGTAAGGATTAGTTACCAGGATATCTTCACATCACAAACAATTAACAGCCAACATCTTTTTGGCGTGTAAAACAATACTTATGGTTTAGAACACTTTGTTAAAATCTGGCAGATTTGTGTATTCGTGTTACAACTTTCTCCATTTTTCTCCAAACCAACATCCTTTACTTTTTTCCGGAGTAGGGCAAAAAATTCATGAAACTAAGTAACCGCAAAAAAACCCCGACAAACCGATACAAATTTTAAAGTCGTTAGATTTGAACATTTCTTCAACTCCGGCATACTTTAGCGATAAACACCCTTGGCAAGATCGTGAACTCCGACTAGCGAGACCGACACTGGTCTCAATGGCACGACTAAACGACTTACCGTTTATTCCTTCACACGTCTCTCCGTAAGGAAGCGCAGTCTTCTGTGTTGTTCAAACTAGTACGGTCCTGCTCTCGAGCACTTACACGTATATATTTGCTCTTTCGCCGTGGTGCAACGGGAGATGATAAAAAGAGCCGTCTGCTCCAGTCGGACGTCATCCAATGAAATCGTCTCTACGTTCGGCGCGACGTCGCCGAGGATGCACTCAGCGCTTCTATCTCTGACTTCGTTTGAGCAGGTCGAGCTGGCGCATGCTCAGCTGCCATCATTTGCGTGGTTTCTGCCCGAGGGAGGTGGCAATCGTTAAAATTGGCTTGGCGCTGACTGGAAATAGCCCATACTGGAAGTTTCTGATCGACGTCCTTGTCATTGTGTCATTGCGACAGGAAGATGATTATGCATTTCATTGCTATGCTGTTTACAAGTGGACGAGTCATACAGTTTGTGTGAACTGGGCCTCATGACATAAATCCTTTGAGAACACTAAAAAGCCGCTGGGAACATGATTGTGGTTGGAATTTTCGACAAATAAGATGCACAAATGATTAAGCAATTAATCTAGACTCCCATTCTTAAATGGCACAAATTCACCGTTGGTAAACCTCAACATTTCAATTAGGATGAACAACAAAGAATATACGGTAAATTTCTTTATTAATTAAATACATTTAGAGAGGAAAGGTGATGTTGTATTTTTTTAATTGCAAGGAATGTTCCAAAAATAACTTCTTTGTTTCACCGTAAAGATTAGATTACTTTATCGAACGTCTCATTTTTGCATCTATCAAACTGTGGAAATTGTTCAGGAGATATATATAGATAGAGAGAGGGGGGGAGAGTTGGAAGATTGGTTTGATATCCACTCTTCTTACCTCGCTTTCCAATTTGAATTTGAAACAGGTACATCGGCAGACTTTTGTAGCGCTCCAATTTATCCCTCTGTGTGCAAAGCATAAACGTTTTGCATATAAATCTTTACGTTACTGCAACAACACGGATAACAGCCTTACATCAACAAATGCGACATGGCAATATTGTCCTCCATCCTTTTAACATAATGATCAACGTTGAAATGGTCATAGGTCAGCAAAGCTGTGGGAGTTACACGCTGAAAATTGTCTTGGTAAATGGGCCTCTTACGTTGTGCCTTTTCCTTTAGTTTCCTTTGGCGATATTTAAGGCCCCAGGAGTCGTATTGTTTGATTTGTAACAAGGAATGTCAAGATCGCACCAATAGATGTCGTGCAGATATGTGTTTTGTATTCTTAACAAAAGACGATAGTCTCACAGGTATTTCGCCAGTACTCTATGCATAAAGAGTATTGTATTTAATGTCTTTGAAGTAACTTTTACAGCGCATTGGTACATGTTGTATGTGGCCCACAATTCTTGATTTTTTTTTTCTCCACTCTTCTGGTCTCATTAATCTCTGACAATAATTTAGTAAACCTCGCGTGCCTTCTTTTAAGCTTTATAGTGAAACCAAGTACCCTCTCAACAATGAATTCAGCATATTCATATCTAAATATATGCTGAACACTCAGTCCCTCTTTAATAGATTTAAAATTGATTTTTGCTTTATGCTATAACGGTAATTTTGAAAAAAAAATGATTTTTTCCATGTATGAAGTTTCTTTGGTGGTAGCAAAACAAAAAAGCGTTTGGTTCTGTAAGGTTAGGTGGGAGTGCTTTTTCTAAATATTGTCTGTCTCAGTTACAAGACGTTTAAAAGATTTTACTATGGACAGTAAATGTAAGTTAATTGGCTTATATCAAACTGCATTTAAAGTATGTTCAGTCGGTCTGCTAGAATTTAACCCAATGTTAAGCTTTGAATCTTAAAATTGTGCGAGGACACATTAAATCTGTAGTCAAGACAACAACATAACCTTATTTTCGTACCGGTTCCATTACCTGAATGGTCGAATACACTACAAATATTTTGTTTGTTAGCTATTGTAAATTGTTATTTAGCATTTTGTCGTCTGTTATACTCTTTCTTAATTGTCTTGTTGTCTTATAAACATTTCTAAGGAGCCTTGAATTGTTACACTCTCTTTATTTTGCATTTCCTTAAAGATAAAAAAGATACACTCATGTAAATAATGGTACCATTAAAGCGCTGTTCAACACCACACGTTCACCTTATAAAGTCACCTGTGACTTCTGACGTAGCATAATAAACAGCTCTAACAGGACTGTCACAGGACTTTTTGCTAATATTTCTACTTAAATGTCTTTTTCTCCGAAATATTCATGTGAACAAAATCTGTTTTTCAGACGGGGGGGGGGTTAAACTTTGTAAAAACAAATTTAATTGTCTATACCATTTTCAAATTGTATAGACGCATTATACTTGTAAACAGGCATCCCCCATAAACCCTCCAAGTTTGTTAGGAGGACAAAGTCAAGAATATCCTGTTAGAACCTTGCCATTTATTTGTGCTCCTGATCAAATTTGGTTCCTTTTTGGAATTGTTTGGAACCTGTAAGCTCCTTAAAAGAATGTGTTTCACCTTACAGCCGCCATCCCAAACTTCTTCCTTGTTAGTTACTTAACTTCTTCTAGGTAAACATTAACGCGCCTCTTTTCTTGTAATAAGTGAAGAAAAAAACGGCGAACAAATCTGTCCTCCAAACCAACAGGCTTCAAGAGCTGTTGATGGCAAATATCGTGGTTGAATTTTTAGATATTCGGCTTTGGCATATCAGGCCAACTGTTATTATAAGATAACTTGAACCAGAAAGAAAAACATCAACGTTGCAATTCTCATATTTGTGGACGTTTGCTCTTCTCAAATGTCACTCGTTTAAACAGCGCAGAGGAATTTTCAGCCCTCGATCAATAAGATTTGTTGTGACTGAATTCGTTACGGTAAAATTGAAATGTGTATGCTGACTAATTTAGGAGTATTTTACCACAATAGCTTTATGTAGGTCCATGTTCGAGTGCTCTTTCCTGAACTTTGAAACTTAAAAAAACGCTTTCTGTGAAACTTTTCACTTTACAGAGGTGTTTTTACCCTGGTAATACATTGTTTTCGGTATTGCTTTAAAAATATCTCATTGAAAAAAATGAATATACATTATCAGGTGAAGAACTGTTTTGACGGAACTGTGGGGTCGCTGATTGGTTAATGGCTTGACTGAGGAGATGTTGAGTGTTTGGTTCATATCGGGATCAATGCATTGCTTATCTGTTTTTGTCAATCTTGTATTAATAATTGAAAAAAGAAAACAAGCGAAAACAAGAACACTTATCATTCCCAACAATACCGCACAAAATGTGTGCGACGAGAGACGCGGTTTTCAGCGGCACAATGAGATTCACAGAGGATGATGTCTTCGATCACCCCGTCTCCCGTGTTTCTAGCGAAGGTTATCAACACAGCTTTTGAAAACACTCCCGCAGCGGGAATCCGGATTAATGAAAAGACCCAGTCGCAAAACTGTCAACGTTAGAATGGTGACAGTACGTAACGTGGTTAGTTGTGGATGTCGATCAACCGACGTCGTTTATGGACTGAACATGCGTGGACGTCAATGTACAAGGGAATGAGTGTATGCACGGTGAAGAACCTCAACTTGTTTTGCTAAAGGCTGTATTCTCCATGCACTTCTTAGTGTTCAACCCGTAAATACAGTATAACTTCTCATACGGCGTCGTCCAGGTTTGTACTACAATGTACATTCTTCAACAAGTTCTTCAACCAGTTACGTTTTGTAACAAGTAAAAGTGACTTATGATGGATTAATATGTGACACAAATTTTAACAATGAAATTGTTTCATTGTGCTAATACAGCATTCATTTGCTATCAAAATAATCCCCTGAATGAATATCGCCTGTGATGAGCACAGATTAATTAAAACAATTATTAGCTAATGATGCTGGTTGAGTAATGGTCATGCGCTTATTTAGCATGACTGAACAATAACCTTTGAAGTACGAACGTCAGAAGTTAATATAGGTATTATCAACTGTCACAGCCATATTAACGGGTACTTGGCAACTCTACCAGGTTGTCAAGGCGCAGGTGTAGAAATTGTGAACTAAACATGCGCACGTGGTGTCTATTCTCCTGAAGTTTACCTAGCAAATAAAACTTTCCTTGAAAGAATCCTCTGTCAAGTAATGCATACGCGTCACCGTATTTTCTGGGAACTGCTTACTGCTCCCAAGTTCTCTAGGTTTTGGCCTACACGCACTGGAAATCGTGATGAATCTTCTCCAAAAAGTTGTACTCGGAGAAAAGTATTGAAATTACGTTTAATTCATTCTGAAGTCTATACTTCAGTGAGATTAATCTTGAAGATGGTAGATAAAATCAAATATATTAAACTAATGGTTTTGCCAAGGCAGAAAACAAACTTCACTGTCAAAAATCCTACTGCAGCTATGAAAACCACAGTAGTAGGCCTACCCAAATTTATAATTTCCCCTTAAGGCCATGCACTTCATAGACGCACTTCGAAAGTACAGCCTGCGCATTGCTCCGAAAACACCGAGGTAATACGCCATTACGATTAAAAGTGGATTTTTCAGAAGCCACACACCGATACAAATTGAGACTTCTGCTCAAGTAACGTCTCCCGATCCAACCATTCACAAACTGCTGCTTGATATGGGACTCAGGAATCATGAAAGCGTTATTTTTTCATTCCGAAAATGAACCCCCTTTATGATGCAGTAACGGCAGATTTTCTTCCCACCTGCTGATTGTATGAGTGATCCGACTCGTGCACCCGAGCGATTTCATCAAACTCAGCAACAAATTAAGCTGGATACTTGTCATTATGTACACCACTTTGTGAATATATTTTATCATCTGCTTGTTATTCTACTCGGGAGAAATGCTAGTTTTGTGTGGAGTTGGCTGATTCTAATGAACGGGGAGTGTGAGCGAATCACCTCCTGAGAGGTCCTGAGAAGTTCATCTTTCGAAGTCACGCAGCAACGAGAGCAGAAAGTCAAAGAACTGGGCCGAAAGCAACCAGCTCTTTCCTGAACCAACATTTCTTCCGAGCAAAGTAAGTCCCATTGAATACCACAAGCCAAGCATGGAGCCACCTGCCTGCTTGCAGTAGATATTAAAAATTGGTACGGCACTTGCACCGGTTGACTTGCTCGTGGAATCTGACCTTCAATGTGCAGTCTCATAAGTCTTTGGAGCAATGGAGCGA